AACACGTTTAAATTGTACTTCTCGGCGTGGACTGGTTAAACATGACCTTGAAAACTTGATGAGACGACGCCTCCAGACCGAAAGGGGCCGCTGCAGGAGAAGATGCCGGAGGGAGGGGAGGGGCACCATCTTGTTCCAGTGGTTGCTCGTTGGCGGTTGCTGAGGCAGTGCGAAGGCGAGTGGTTGCTAGGTTACCGTCGGACAGCCGCCGTGTGTAGTTTTCATGGGGGTAGCCTCAAGGCGGAGAACCGGAGGGGGTTGAGGAGAAGAGGCACTCACTGTACGTAGAGACAGGTACAGGGACCAGGCGCCCTAAAGACCGAACTTCATTTGTGTAGCGCCTCTCCCATCCTCAGGGCCTGCCAAAGCGATTCCTAGGTGCGTTTCTTTCCCCGCCCCCTCTCCCCATCCAGGTAAAAGCTGGCAGCCCAAGTTGTGTCCAGCAAAATCCCACTTCAGGGAAAAAGAAACACTTTGATGGTGTTCGAAAAAGGTCCACTGGACTCTCGAAGGGTCCCAACTCGAAACGACAGCTTTCCCGCTCCTCTGATGCTGCCTGACCTGCTGTGTTCATCCAACACCGCACTGTTATTCCCAGACTCCAGCATCGGCAGTTCTTACTATCTCTCGAAACCTCAACTCTGTTTCTCTCTCCACAAACGCTGCCAGACCTGCTGAGTTTCTTCAGCGTTCTCAGTTTTTACTTCAGATCTTCCGTTGTTTGTTTTATTCACCTACCTTTAAAATGTTGGTTCCAGAGGAGTTATCAATGGGTCTTTTCCATTACCTGAACGGTCAAAAAGATTTTTTTACAGAAAGCCATTTGTAATTATATATTCCCTTTTGCGAATTTGGGGGGGGAAAAAAAAACTCTTTTATTTTGAAGTGTACGAAACCCGGCAATCAATTTGTGCGCAGCATGTTCCCCCAAAAAGGAATGTGATATTGAGCAAATAGAGATTTAGAGATTTGACTGAGAGATATATATTGGCCACACTAGAGAAAACGCCTGTACTGTTTTTGTTCCAAGGAGCTACAGGAAATGTGTTCTCTAAACAAAAAAAAGGATTGTGAATATAGTTTATTTAAGTGCCCTGGATCTTTTCAATTTTTTTTGAACAGGTGCACAGTAAATTTAAAGGGCAGACTTGTGAGTCACCTGTGCTGCGACTTGTAAGTTATTGCAGCAGTCCCAGTTAAGTCATTTAGGTTCTCCGGAGACACAGGCAGTTTAGAGTTGAATCTATTGTTTCTATAGATTCTGGAATGATTCCTGCAACTTGGAAGAGAGCAAATATCACTCCGTTTTCTTTAAGAAAGCCGTGAGAGAGAATATAGGGAACTAGAGACCTGTTAGCCTTACATCTGTAATAGGGGAAATGCTAGAATCTATTCTAAAGGATGGGATAAATAGGCACGTAATTGATAATGACCTGATTGGACAAAGCATGGATTTGCAAATGGGAAATCATGTTTAACAAACGTGGAGCTTTTTTGAAGCAGTTTTGAGCAAAATTGATAAAGGAGATCCAATGGACATAGTATCTGTTGATATTCAGAAAGATTTTGAGGAAGTTCTTTGGGGAGGCTGTGTAGAAAATTTAAAGCACATAGTGAAATAACTCCACAAAGCCTGGTTTCCTGTCACCAAGTCACCCTTTATTTACACGTGCATCATGCTTGACGCTGGTCCGGCTTCCTCAGAGCTAGCTTTCAGTGTGAGCAGAACCTCTGACACTCTTGTTTATATCTGCTAGCCAGGGCTCAATGATTGAACTAGATTAACAGCCCCAATCAGGGAACTCATATTATATGAGGTGCACTTGGTTGACCTTGTTACAATCACTGTACAGAGGATAGGAGGTAATGTACTGGCATAAATTAATGATTGACTATCAGGCAGAAAACAGAGAGCAGAAATAAATGGGTCATTAGCAGGCTGAGACTAGTAAGACACCACGAGGCTCATTATATGGCCCCTGTTGTACACAACTGATGTCATTGATTTGGAACCAAATGTAATATTTTCAAATTTGTGAATAATAGAAAGCTAAGTGGGAAAGTCTGTTGTGAGGAACATGTAAAGCAGCATTAGGAGTATTTGGCCGGGCTTAATGAATGGGCAAGAACATGGCAGAAGGTATATAATGTGGAAAAATGTGAGGTTATCCACTTTGGTAAGAAGAACAGGTGTGCGGAGTATTTGTTGACTGGTAAGAGGTTGCAAGTGTGAATGTACAAAGTGATCTAGTCAATTAGTCACTTAAGACCAATATCCAGATGTAGCAAGCTATTAGAAAGGCAAATGGAATGTTAGCCTTTAATCGCAAGAGGATTTGAGTCCAGGAGTAGTGAAATTTTGCTTCAGTTGTGCAAGAGATTGGTTAGACTGCACCTGGAGTATGGTGTGCAGTTTTGGTCTCTTTACCTCTGGAAAGATATTGCCGTAAGGCTGTACAACAAAGGTTCATCAGACTTGTTCCTGGCATGGCAGGACTTTTTGATTTGATTTAATTTGATTGATTTATTGTTACATGTGCTTATGTACAGTGAAAAACTTTGTTTATGAGCAGTACAGGCAGATCATAGTAAGCCAGGACATACAGATCATAGGGTGAAAAAAATACTTAGAGGCATTAGGTTATGTCACACAGGGCATGCGCTAGGCAAGATCAGCATTAATTGAAGTTAGAGAGCCCATTCATCAGTCTAATAATGGCCTGGAAGAAGCTGTTCCTGAACCTGCAGGTGCATGTGTTCAAGCTTCTGTATCCTCTGCCTGATGGGAGAGCCCTGTGGAGAGAGATTAGGCAAACTGGGCCAGTATTCTCGAAGAATGAGAGTTGATCTCATGAAACTTAGAAAATACTTAAAGGGGTAGACAGGGTCGATACACATAAGATGTTTCCTCTAGCTGGGGAAATTGAAACCAAGGGGCCACAATTTAAAAAGTAAGGGGATGCCTCTTAGGTCAGAGATGAGAAATTATTTTAGTCAAAGGGTTGTGAACCTTTGGAATTCTTTACCCCAGAGGGCTGTGGAAGGTCAGTTTTTGAGCATATTTAAGAGAGAGATTGATAGATTTCTGATTTCCAGTGGCATACAGGGTTATGGGGATAGGCTGGCGAAAGGTATTGAAGTATTCAATCAACCATGATCGTATTGAATGCGATCTACCCAAGCACCTCATGTAAAATGATCTGGCAGCCTAGTGTTTATGGTGCTGGACTAATGACTGAGATAATTGAAATCAAGCTTGATAAATCTGGTCACTTGCAGATTGACAGGAGGAAAAAGCCACAAAAGTTGCTGGGTTTCTGTAAGAACAAGACTCAGGACCCTAAAACCCTTCAGGGAAGGAGTTGAAGAGGGTGTCACTTCTAAATACTAATATGAGCTCCTGGAAATCAAACTCAATGAATCTGATTTGTGGATTAGCATAGAGAAAATAATCGCAAATGTTGAAAACTAAATATTTATTTACTAATTGATCTTCCATGCGTTACTCTTGGCAATTAAGATGGTTTATGAGGACAAGGTAACTAGGGAGTCCTTAGTTATTTCCTGGGTTAGGATAGCACCAGGCTCTTGGTAGCAGGGTTTAAGATGGCATGTTGTTAAAAGCTTGAGGTTGCCCAGGTCTCCTACGGTGAGCACAGTGCCACAGCACCTACCTACTGTGAAGATCAGAGCTGGGAGGGCTCCAGTGATGATGAGTATAGTTTAGTCATTATCTAAGTGGCCATTACAGGCACATGTTACAAAACATGTGACATAGCTTTATATTAATCAAAATCACTGATGTTTTAAAATGGGACTTGGAATCCATTTTCTTTGGTTACAAACATTTGGATTTGGAGTAGCATAAGCCATTCAGCCATGCTGTGCCATTCAATAAGATCATGGCTGATCTGATTGTGGCCTCGATTCCACTTTCCTACCTTACCTCAATAACTATTAACTCCCTTGCTAGTCACAAATTTATCTACCTCAGCCTTAAAAATATTCAATTACCCTGCCTCCACCACTTTCTGACAAAGAGAATCTCACAGGCTCATGGCCCTCAGAGGGAAGAAAAATACTTCTCATCTCTGACTTAAATGGGAGATCCCTAAATTCTTAAACTGTTAAAGTGACAGAGTTGGAAAAGTCAGAAGTATTGCATTGTAACCTTGTGTGCATGGTCACATGTTTGTTGTGTTGGTGACTTGGGAATCTCTTCAGTGATCCACAGATTGAATCACAATGCCGAAGAAGGGATCTAAAAAAGTGACCAAAATGACCGAGGAGGAGCAACTGCTGTACATGCAGCAGAAAATGCTGGAAGAGGAAGAGATGCAAAAAAAGAAAGAGGATATGCTGAATCAATTCTTAAAGGTATTTCTTTCAAATCTAATTGTTTTTTCCAGAAGTGTCATTTTCATATTTATTCGTTCATGACTGTTGCTGGCTGGGTCGACATTCATTGTCCATTCCTAATTGCCATTCACAGGGTGCTTGTGAGATGCCTGCTTGAACTAATGCAGTCCTCAGGGTGTAGGTACACCACCAGTACTGTTGGGAAGGGAGTTCCATGATTTTGACCCAGTGACAGGAAAGGGTCAGCCATCTAATTCCAAGGCAGAATAGTGTGTGATTGGGGGGAGGGGAGAGGAGGAATCCTGCAGAGAGTGTTGTGCCTATGTATCTGCTGCCCTTGTCCTTCTAGATGGTAGGTGACACTGGTTTGGAAGGTGCTGCCTTGGCGGCTGCTAGGGTGGCTTCCTTCAGCAGCAGAAAGCAGGTTTATACAGATATATGCTGCTGCCACAGTGCATTGCTGGTGGAGGGAATGAATGTTGAAGGTGTTAGATGGGATGCCCCTAAGCAGACTGCTTTGTCCTAAATGGTGTTGAGCATCTTGACTGCTGTCAGAGCTGCACTTGTCCAGGCAAGTGGGGGAATATTCCATCACACTCCCGATTTTGAGGGACAGTAGGTGCCACAGAATACTCAGCCTGCAACCCACACCTGTAACCATGGAATTTATCCTGTATTTATTTCGTGGTTTGAATAGTGCAATTGTGGTGTGATTTGTCTTGCTCTTTCTGCTTAATCACCAGTGTTCTTTCTCCCTACAGGATAAACTGTCCAAGGAAGAGCACAACACCCGTCTTAACACGCTGAAGCTAAATGAGAAGTGGCGCACCGTGATGCGGGAGGCAAAAGCTGCAGAACTCAGGAAGGACATTGAGATCCTGAGCCAAACCTTTGAAAGAATTGTAGACCGGAAAGACGGTGTGATCAGAGTAAGATGAGGAGAAATTGCCACTGACCTAGGATTGTGTCTTGATATGTAATGAGCTGTTTAGCGAAAGCAGGACCAGGCCCAAAACATGTTTCACGTTTTCACTCCCCTTTAAAGAAACAAGCTGACTGCCAGCTGGACAGTGCACAAGCACAAAGGTTTCCACATTTCCTGCAAGCATGGCCTCCTACTGGCTGCACCATGTCACAGCATCAATCCTCATGTTGGAACTGTGCGCATATATGACCATGTTATTTAACAATTCATGCATCATATTCTCGAGCCTGCATAGGGTCATCAAACAATATTCAGATATACGAGTGTCTGTTGGTGGATGAAGATTTGAATGGTGAATAGTCTGTAGGGAGACTGCCTTTCTGTTAAAGTGAGAGATTTCATTCTGTCTGAAGCAGTGATTTTCTGGATGCTGTTCTCTCATCATCGGCAGTCAGATTGCTGATGGCCACACAATCTTCCCTTCAACATTGTAACTGAAACAGCTAACATCTTCACTCTGTTTTGCCTGCAGTGCACATCCCATTTGCTGCCTGACAGGACAAATGCAACATTTGCAAAGCCTTGGTTACTGTTGCACTGCAAGCACTTGCACTAGCAAACAGTATGCCAGGGTGATTTCTCATTTCCCAGTCACCATGTCCGCTCAGTACCCTGCACTGATGCTGTTACTGAGATTGGGAACCAGGAATCGCAAATCTGGATCATACCCAGTTTGTAGTGCTCATACTATGGTAGCATGATGTGGGGAATGTAGCGGCGAGGAACCCCCAAACAGTTACATCAAAGAATTTGACGTTGAGTGGACTAATTAAAATCAGTGAGCCACCAGAGGAATCTGTAATCTGTTTCTTATATGTCTTCCAGGCTTTAACAAAAGATTTGGAAGAGGCAGAGGAACAGTACGCAACGGCCCTGCGGAACCATATTCAGAACGTGGATAAGCTGGTGGATCTGCAACGCAGTCGACTTATCATAATAGAGAATGAGTTTGAGGCAGAGTTGGCGTCACTGAAAGAAGAGTTTGATGCTGAGAGGTCAGTGTTCAGTTTTTGGAATGCAAAGAGATGTTGGCATTTACTGAACTTTGAAATGGCAGTCATAGCTCTTTCCACAGTACCCATGGGTCATTTCCACTTTGAAAAATGAGATTGATTTTCAATCGCTTAAAGCTCTCTTTAAATTACATAACTGAGGAAAATATAATAGTGTGATCTGGTCTGTGTGTTGTGGATAACAAGGTGGTTGTTATTCTAGTGATAGTTGAATTCAGTTTGCATCTTGACAGACAGCAAATGATTGTGCAGCATGAGCAAGAGATGACCAATCTGGAGGATATCATGTACGCCATGGACCAGATCTTTGGAGAAGTCGCAAACGAAGCACGACAAGAATTCAACAGTACCAGGGATGACCTCAAAAACAAGGTAAGGAAGCTTGGACTCCACCGATAGAATGAAGCAAGGGATGTGGACACCATGTGATCAAGTGCTCACAAAAACACAGGAAATAACTGGTTAACATCAAAATCTATGATCTTCAATACATATTGTAAGATTTCTAGAATGTATAAGATCAAACCTTGAGTTGGATGTGTGTGTGTTTGTTTCTGGGTCTAAACATTGCCACAGAGCATCTAAGTGGTAAACGTTCTTTTGTTTTCATACCGAACCTGTTATTCCCTTCTGAAGACAGACTTCATTGATTAAAACAGGCATTTTTCATGTACGAAGCCCAGCTGGTATTGTGGGGTGTAGTTCTGTTCACTTCCAATATCTATGCACACTTACTTTCTAGCAAGGGTTTACTGCTTAGGGAGGATGGTGGCAATAATGTTACTGGATTAGTGATCCAGAGGCCTGCGCTAATGATTCGGGGATGAGAGTTCAAGACCTACTGTGACATCTGGGGAATTTAAATTCAATTAATTATTGAAACTAGATTTAAAAAAAAAAAAGTCGCTCTCCATAATGGTCGTCATCAAAGTTCCGGATTGTTATCAAAATATCCTCTGTTGTTTATTGCCCGTTGTAAAATCCCATCTGGTTCACTCATGTCCTCTGGGGAAGGAAATGTGCCATCTTTTGTCGGTCTGGACTACATGTGATTCCAGATCCACGCGTTGACTTGTAATTGTCATCTACAATGCTGAGATAGTCCAGTATGTCACTCAGTTTTATTATACCACTACAGAAAAGTGAACATTTTCATTGTACCTATGCCATGTAGGATACAGCCATTCAAGAAGACGGCTCACCACCTTCTCCAGGATAACTGGATGAGAAGTTTTGTCCATGCCAGTGACACATACATTCCACAAATGAATAAACACAAGAGTAATGATCAGGATCTGGATACAGAGACTGACTTTTGTCTTTTCAAGCCCTGGATGTGAAACAACCCAGATATGGATCATGGACAATGGACTTGGGACTTTCCTGAGCAGAACGGTTCAGCTACTGCTTCCGAACCTTCAGGGAAATCTCAAGAAGGTCTTTGATGTTGAGGTGTGATGTCCCACGTTTGAATAGCTCACTACCGAGCAATGGCCATGAAGATGACAGGTGCCTGTGGAATAGAATCTTAGTGAGAGTCAACAACTTTAGTAGGGGAGTGGGAAACTTAGAAGGAAGGGGATAGCAAGAACTGCAGATGCTGGAGTCGGAGATAACACAGTGTGGAGCTTGAGGAACACAGCAGGCCAGGCAGCATCAGAGGAGCAGGAAAGTTGACGTTTCGAGTCGGGACCCTTCTTCAGAAATGCCCATGGAAGTACCTTGACGGTATGAGATTTCAGGATAGTAATATTCTGATTTTTGAACAGCTTCATTGCATATGTAGCATATTCCATGCAATAATGGCAGAAAATGCCAATCACAAAGGGCCTGTAATTCACACCTTCAAATAACAAACAAACTAATGAATAGAAATGATAAAGGATTTGACCATCCAGTTGTGACACTACTGGCTCAGCACCAAAATAAGCAATATGTGTCGTGGTCTTATGTTACAGAGAATCTGAACTCTGGGCTGACCTAAGGAACTGGGAATGAGTTCTAGTAAGATGTAATTTGTCTTGAAAAGTAGCAGCACATTGAGGTAGAATATAAATGTAACTAGTTCTGCACACTTTCTATGCCCCCTATACATCCAGAGTGCTTTCTCCTTCTGCTGCATTGCAAGATGTCAATGGACAGTTTGCCCAGGGTGTAGTACTATGAACTCCTTTTTTATATTCACCCGTTAATGTGACAGACTGTTTGCATTCATTCTAATTCATTCTTGTTTGCACAACTCTATGAAAATCTGTGTGAGTTTCCTATGAATGGCCTTAAGATGTTCTTAGCTGTCCTAATTAAGCAAGTGTTTTGTTCTTTAGATTTTTAAATAATAGCAAGACTCATAGTTGCAATACAGAGAGCTGAAGTCAATACCACTTGCTGCTGTTTATACACAGGTTTGTTGATGAAAATTAACGTAGTGCAAAATCTGACCCAAGGTCATTGTCCTGTTAAGATGATTTCATCAAACTAATATTTAACTGTCAGAACTAAGACTGATTATTGTATCTTCATGATTCTTATAAGATTTGTTATCAAGCCAAAATTACTGCAGAACCTAGAATGGTTTCCTATGAAGAACGTTTATTTATGTCATTTCTATTGTTTCTAATTCACTTAAGCAAAGTAACACCTTAGAACTTAATGAGACCAGTGGTGTGTTTTGCTGCATTTAGAGTCTGGAGGAGAAGCATTCACTCCGAGTTAATCTGGAAGGATTAGTGGAAGATTTGTGGCTGCAGTTTCAACATGCATTGAAGAACTATATCGACTCAACTGAGGATCGAAAAATTGCATTTGAAACTCTGAAAGCACGAGATGAAAAGAGTGCAAAAGAGATTGAAATGCAGATGAAAAGGCTGCAGAAAATGCAAGTAAGTCTAACTAAATACTCACTGTACTTGTATCACAGCACAGTCATTGCATTTAATTTGACAGTATTTGGAAAAAACACTCAATTATAAACCTTGCATTGTTAAAGCTGCAACTTTACTGAGGTTGGATTTGTATGCTGCTGTTTAGAATATAAATGACCCTCTTTTTCTCTCTGTAGCCTTTCTTGTCCCTTTCAGTTTTATGTGTTTTAGATCCTCTGAACAATATTTGGAGCTCACAAAATTATTCCCCAGTGAATCTTTACTATAGAAATCTAAGGGCAGATTTTATGAATTAACACTGCCCGTGTGGAGTTCAACGTATTGGTGAATCAGAGACAAATTCATTTTTATTGACTGAAAAATCATGAAGAGCCAGGTGCTCCTAGTGGGAAAGGTTTGGAGAATGATTGATTGTGTGAAATCAGCACCTCAAAACTGTGTTGCTCTCTCCATCTTGTCTGTATGTTATCTTCAGCCTTCAAACTCCAGCTTGGTCTCACCTCATCACTATTCTCCTAGTGACTTCATTTTCCGACCTATACTTTTCAATCTTGATATTGCCTTGGCAAGTGCCTGAGTTCTCAGTTCCTAAAATATCAGAATAAAGTTTACTCTTTACACTGATCACTAGAAATTTGACATGCTCCATTTATTTATTATTTTACCAATAGGATACAATAGCAACACTGAAGGTCAAGATAGCAGCTAATTCACGCAAGTGTGAGGCACAGAACAAAAAATTACGGAATGAAAAAGAAACAATTAAGCAGCATTTCCTGATGCAGAAAAGCCAGATGAATTACCTCCGAGCTCGTGAGCACGAGCGACTCATCAAACTAACCCTGGAGAGTAATGCTGCCATCAAAACACTGAAGGATGTTTGTGATAAGGTAAAGTCACAGGTCTCCTGAATAAAATGTAAAAAGGTGCAAGTTTATCCAGCGTTTTCGTTAACATGAGTGGACAGAGGAAAGCCTGCTTGATTAATCTGTGTAGGTATCAGGAGCCAGCCTATAATTAATCTGTTTCTTGTGAATCTGCAGTGGTCTTGTTTTCAGTAGTGGTGATAACATAGGACTTTCCTAACATTGACAGAACAAATCAAATCTGTATGAATAGCAACATTGAGAAAGAGGGAAGCAGGAAGAGGAGCTAGGGGAGTTTTAGTTTCAGGCTGACGCCACCAAGCATGCAAAGTTGCGCCGTGCAGAGGGTAAGGATGAAGATGGGGGTTTGGGTTTGTTTTGGGGGGAAGAAAGGATTTTGAATGAGAAACAGGAGGGTAAATTGCTTGAATGAGGTGTAGCAGACAGAGATCAAGGATATATGCCTTGGCAATTATGAAATGTAATCAAGCAAAGTACCAAGCTATTTAACATATCAGCACTTTACCATAGTTCAGTTTGTAAGATTACTTCTATTTATCTCATGTTTGTTCTGTTCAACTGATTTTAAGAAGTAACTTATCCCTACTACAAAATCTAGCCTACATTATGCACATTTTAGCAACAACATGATAGGTGCAATGATGCTTATCACCATTAACTCTGCATAACTTCAACATAGCACATCTTTCCAATCATGTGAAGAACAACTCTCATGGTAATTCCAAATGGTCACTAGGTTCCATTTTATCAATGTATCAATCCTCTCCAAATAAAATGGTCTCTGTTTAACAGATGTTGCTGCTGCATTACCTGAGGCTGTGTGGATGTTTCATTGATTACCACACAGGGTCAAGTGATCACTGAGTCTCCTTGTTTAGTGTTACCTTGGATCCACCCTGTTTAATAAAGCTGTTTAACATCAGTGACCATTGTCACTCATCTCAGTGAGTTCTTATGACAGTAATCCTTTTGGAGTAAAATCTTGAATAATTGTTGTTCTTCACCGAGTGAATGCTTGCTGCTTTGATATGTCTAGGGTGAGCACATACTGAAGATGGCAGAGATGTGCAGGAAACTGGAAACAGAAGAAGAGAAGGTTCTCCCATTCTATGCCTCCTCTCTGACCCCGGAAGAAGAGAATAAAGTCAAGCATTTGATGATGATGAGGCCATGTGAAGAGCTTGCTGAGGTGAGAAGTGGACAAGCTCAAACTCAGACAGGTTTGCTTAGGTTGGAATTTATTGGGAAGCTAAATTGACACTAAAGTAAGGTGTAGATGAGGTGTAACATGTTTCTGTCAGGTAGGAATGGGCAGAGTAAGATATGATTTGAGTGAGGTGAATAGGCACGGTAGAATTTGTATCTGGTAGATGTGCGAAGGGTTTGCCTCTGAAGAATATGTCTCATGGACCACAGAGATTTGGCTCACAAGATTGCATGCTGCAATTAATTTCTGTAACCTTTCTGAGTTTAGGATATTATGTCCATCCAATTGGACAGCAAAGTAAATTATACATAATTGTGACAATCACCATGTTGTAAAATATTGTAATGAAATGAGGGGTTAAAGTTGAGCTCTAGTTTACCTCAGTTAAGCATTCCAATGCTGCTGTATTGCCTGAGGCTGTGTGGATGTTTCAGTGATTGATTACCACCCATGGTTAACAGCGATCACTGTGTCTCCTTGTTTAGTATAGCTTGGATTCACTCTGTTTAATAAAGTTGTTTAACGTCATTGCCCATTGTCACTCATCTCAATGATTTCTTATAACAAATTCGCTTGGAGTCAAATCTTGAATACTTGCCTGAAACCAGAGCTGAAATTGATCCAAATTGGAATTTGGGTACAAAAAGATGTGATTTTTCTTATTGGGCAATTCATTTCCCAGATCTGATTTGTTTTATTGTTGTCACATTTACCGAAGTACAGTGAAAAGTTTTGTTTTGCATGCAGTACAGGCAGATCATAGCTTACAAGGACATACAGATCATATGGTGTTTAGACAGAGCGAGGCGTACAAGATTATGGTTACAAGGTTACAGGAGGCGGACAAAAGCAAGACCAACATTAGATTTGAAATTAGAGAGGTCCATTCAGCAGTCTAATAACAGCAGGGAAGAAGCTGTTCTTGAACCTGTTGGTATGTGTGTTTAGGCTTCTGTATCTTCTGCCTGATGGAAGAGGTTGGAAGAGACTATAACCAGGATTGGGGATGGGGTGGCTTTGAAGATGTTGGCTGCCTTTTGTAGATGGATCTGCTGCAAATAATTGCTTTTCCTAGATTCTATAGTATAGTAAATTTGCACTTTGTCTCTTTTTTTTAAGGCAATGATGGATTGTGTGGCTCTGGAACAATTCTGGAAGCGCTATAATAAGGTTTGTTTGGACCAGATTGTTTTGCAGAAAGAGAAACATACCTTGCTGCAGGAGAACAGACGTCTCCGGCAACTCCTGAAACAGTACTTAGATGGAATCTCTGTCAATGAGGAAATCCTGTCAAACCTAAACCCTCTCATTGTCATCAACAACAAAACAAATGTGAAAATGAATATGCCTGTGATAGAATCTGCAGCCTCAAAGCCGGTTTACAATGTGATTGAGGCTGCACACATCATTAATCACACAGTCTAATAATCACTTAAATTCATGTGTCAATGTCTTCTGTCTGTCTTTTACCTTACTAACCAGTGATTAATCTGACCAGTGTCACTAAATGATATTTTTTCCTTAATTAACTTAAATTATCACGTGAGTAGCTATTTATCATTCAATAAATATATAAATCGGCAACTGCATCAACCAGTTATCAAATTCTCTGTACAAATTTACTTTGCTATTGAAACAAAGTACATTCTTCCAACAGTAATTGTTGATGTGTGGGAAAAAAAATGGTGTACCAATTATCTTGCTTATCGTCTCAATGTAACAAAGCTACTTAGTGTCTAACACAGTAGCTGAGTGAATGCAAATTATTTGTTCAACCTGTTGCTAATAGTTAAGATGAAGATAATTTTTTTTTAATCTCAGGGAGAGGTTTAGATAAGAATTCTTACTATTGAATGACAAAGTATTATAGCACAGAAAGACCATTCAGTCCAACAAGTCCACCCTACAGTTTTTGCGCCATCCATGTTTCTCCCTGTCCCCTCTTCATCTCATCCCATCACCATATCATTCTACCCTGTCTCCCTCATCTGGTTAAGAAGTTTCCCCTTAAATGCATGTAGTAGTTAGTTCTATATTCTCACCACTCACTGGGTAAGATATTTCTGGCTCCTGGTTCTGGCCTTATCCACGAGTGAAAACGTCTTCTCTACGTCTACCCTAGAAAACCCTCTGAGGGGAATCCAGCAGCAAGAAAGTAAGTGTGTCTTTACTTTTGACACTCAACGAGGGCCAGGGGGTGTGAAGAAGGAAAAAGCAGTAGCTTTCAGAGGCCACTCCCTTATCCATGCTTCTGATTGCTCCTGGATTGAAACATCCCTCTCCCCCAACAACCATGACAGGCAGGCCACCCTGGTCTCCCAGTTGGGAAACAAATCAGCTCTCTTACCTGCTCAGATGACAGGTAATTGTGGAGGTGGTCAATGAAGCCCTTAAGAGGCCATTAATTGACCACTTAACAGCCTTAATCAGTGACAGGGCAAGAAAGTCCCCAATAAATCTTCTCACCGAGGGCTTAATTGGTGAGTATCTCAACAAGGCCAACTTGTCTAATTACTCCCCCTTCTCTCCGCCTCCAATAAGGGAAAATTATGCCCATACATTTACACAGACACTGTACAATATATTGAATAAAGAACAACTACTTCATCTGCAAAGACTCAAGAACTCCATGAGCTGAGAGCCTGCACATATATTACTTTCTGAAGAAGCCATCGAGTTCAATGAATTGATCTGAGTAACACATATTAGAATGGCAGTATACTGCAGTCCTTCAAGCTTTATCTGTGCATACCAGCTCACTCACTCTCTATTTTCTCAAAATTTCCTTAGTCGCCACTAACAGATCCAGTCAAGGTAGGCTATCCACATTTTCACCTGAAAGAGTTGTCTCTGCTGCTGCTGCTGGTAGGATTTTCATGTCTGGTCAGGAATGTTTTGTTAGTGTAGGTGTTCTTGGTTTAGTATTAGCTCTTCTGTTATGTTGCATTTAAGCTCGGAAAACTGCTCAGTTCTCAAGACACACTAGAGAACATTTATGTCATGGCTCATCAGAAGTAGTTCATTAGCTTGGGGTTTCCTGAGGCTGACAGGCACTATAACTGCAAGTCTTTCCATTCATTTCTTGTATAAACATCTGTGATACAGAATTGATATATTTGGAACGCTGTTAAAATATGAAAAAGAACTGCTTTTGTAACAGAGATAGTAGGAGCTGCAGATGCTGGAAAATCTGAGATAACAAGGGTCTAGGCCCGAAACGTCAGCCTTCCTGCTCCTATGATGCTGCTTGGCCTGCTGTATTCATCCAGCTCTACACCTTGTTATCTCTGCTTTTGAAACAGGTTAGGTCTGTGATTTGCCAGGGCGGATTGCTTGCAGAGGGGCAATTCAGTGTTTCAAGTCTTCTCTCTGATGAGAGGCTTGCAGGTCTGAATTCCTGCCCAGATTGATTGTTCGAGAGTTAAATTTAACCCTTTTTTAAAAGGTAGAATTTTCACAAATTTCTACTGTGGAAAAGAGTCACCCTTATTGTCATAAAGATAGTAAGAACTGCCGATGCTGGAGAATCTGAGAATAACAAGGTGTAGAGCTGGATGAACACAGCAGGCCAGGCAGCATCAGAGGAGCAGGAAAGCTGACGTTTCGGGTCGGGACCCTTGTTCAGAAACGGGGGAGGGGAATGGGGCTCTGAAATAAATAGTGGGGGGGAGCGGTGATAGCAGGTGGATAGTGGAGCGGATAGGTGGGAGAGAAGACGGACAGGTCAAGGAGGCGGGGATGAAGCTAGTAAAGGTGAGTGTAGGTAGGTAGTGGTGGGGATTGGCTTCAAAATCTCCCCACCCCCGGCGTCATCCCAAGACCAGCACCCCCCTCTCGTCCCCGCCTCATTGACCTGTCCGTCTTCTCTCCCACCTACCTGCCCCTCCCTTCTCACTGACCAACCCCTATCCCAACTCCCTACCTACACTCACCTTTACTATCTTCATCCCCGCCTCCTTGACCTGTCTGTCTTCTCTCCCACCTATCCGCTCCACTATCCACCTGCTATCACCGCACCCCCCCCTCTCTATTTATTTCAAAGCCCCATTCCCCTCCCCCATTTCTGAAGAAGTGCCCTGACCCGCAATGTCAGCTTTCCTGCACCTCTGATGTTGCCTGGCCTGCTGTGTTCCTACAGCTCCACACTGTGTTACCTTATTGTCATTGTGCTGCCACAAGCAGCAGAACATCTGTCCTCACCCAGAAACCCTGAGCTATTATAGTTAACTAACTATGTTGGTGATTACGAGGCAACCTGTTGTTGAGTTCCGTAACTTGCAGGCCAATGTTTCCATATTTCAACAGATATCACAGTTGAAAAAACTTGAGACAAATCTATATTGCACTTCAGAATCCTAACACTTCCCCATTATGCTGTTGATACGGCCTAAGAGGTGAACACAGGCCTCAGTGCAGATTGTCACCAGCTTTCTGACTTGTGGTCCATGATGTGGAGGTGCCAGTGTTGGATTAGAGTGGCCAAGGTCAGAAGTCACATGACACCAGGTTATCACCCAACAGGTTTATTTGAAATCACAAGCTTTCAGAGTGATTTTTTTTTGTGATTTCAAATAAACCTGTTGGAAGATAACCTTGTGTCGTGTGACTTCTTAGCTTCTGTGGCCCAATTTAAGAATGTTACTCCTGAGGAAATGCAATATCTTTCTAGTTTGTATTTAAGTGTCAAGTGCTATCGGCCTCCACCACCGATGCAAACTAAAGATTCCCACCTTTCCACCCCCACTGTTTCACTCAATGAATACAACTCTGCCACTGTGGTTTTCCAATTCTCACACCAGTTGTCATGACCTCTTGGAAGTAGGTCTTCCAATTCACTGCTAATTAGTGCTGAATTATGACCTGTTTGTTATTCAGTATTCACACCTATTTTGGAAGTAGATTCAGATTGCTCTAGGCTACATCTTCCAACTTCTTCATTTCATGAAATGGTTTGACTTGAAAACAAAGTGACTAAGTTTAGAAATTTGAGCCTTGACAAACAATTCATGTGTTTGTAGCAAATTTACATCTCACTGGAGGTTTTAACCTATGTAAAAGGATGGAGCTGTCCACCATTGAAATAACAGCAAAATTTGATAAGTATTGTACAATAACGTCACACACCCATGTTTAAAATCTAACACACTTTTGCATTTCTATGCAATCTTGAATAATGCATCACTACAGACTAAAATAGCTTTAAGGGTCATGTAGTGCTCATACTCCACAGTTACAAAGTCATAGAGATGTACAGCACAATAAGACCCTTCAGACCAACTTGTCCATGCCAACCAGATACCCTAAATTAATCTAGTCCCATTTGCCAGCACTTGGCCCATATCCCTCTAAACCCTTCCTATTCATATACCCATCTAGATACCTTTTAAATGTTGTAATTGTACCAGCCTCCACCACTTCCTCTCGCAGCTTACTCCATTCTCTAACAATTTCTCCACTTCAGCTTATTTTAGTTATATCTGAAAGCTGATCAACATGTATCTTCACACTTGACCACTGCAATTTTTTCCCCCAAAATTAACAGTAGATTGTTTATAATGCATTTTTATAAATAACAATCTTGTGTAATTGATACATGGGCAGGACCAGTATGTGAGTGAGGAAAACACCTTCAATAATGTCAGAAGTACTATAATGCTGATTACAGAAACTAAGTTTGACCTAAAGCTGAACCTACGCAGATTAACCTGAAGGCAGTAATGATCAACTGTCTGTAACCAAGTGATTATTCACAGATGCCACTGGTTGAACAAGAAGAAATTCTCATGATGGAGACAATAATCAAACCAACTCTTCCCCATTTTAAAAAATAGAAGCACACACAACTGAACAAGTTTGCAGAAAAATTATTTATTTTTTCCTTTGCTTTTTTTCTCCTCTTTGAGTTTCCGTTTGGAGATTTTTGGTGTATTTGCTTTAAGATAGAGATAATAGCCTATTAGACACAAAAGTCCAGGGACCAGTAGGAGGCAGGCAATTGGGATTACATTGTCCATTATTTTCTTCCAGTATGTTGATTTCACCAAAGTGATCAACTCTGTCTCAAACAACAATACAGAATCTCCTGAAATACAAAAAAGCAAAATTCAAAACTTAATGTTCAGTCACATTGAGGATATTGCAGCACTTAAACCACACTTAGTAATAAAATACCAGTCACCCTCAGAAGAGGAATCTGAAGTAGTTCCACCACCATAAACCCAAAGAAAATGAAATTTGTGCTGTTCCATTCATTATTTTGACTATGGATTGTTGTAGTCAACTGGTCTTCCTTTAAGCTCAAGTGGAACTCCTACAACTCCGTGGTCTCAGAAGCTTAGCTCTCTCCTTTGAGCCAAACACTACTTGCCCTGTCAGCAATGTTTAACTGTGTAAGGCATAAGCCTGTCCTTTCCCTGGGAGGTTCTTCCAGCACCTGTCCCATAATCTTCGGCAGTACCATTATAAATATCTTGCAGTTTTATAGATGCTCGCAGTCCGATCTGTAGCTTCCAACTTCTCTCTCAATTGCTTCTGTCCTATGGTTCTGATTGCCCCTAGGAACACTTCTGCTAGACTGCAAAATATGACATTCTATACCACTGTTGTTTTTACCCATTTCCTCACTGTATT